TTCAAATTTATGAATTTCCGAAATTTTTATTCACTAGTACTAGAACACCTAGGTAAAAAATATGGCAGTATCCTTTGACACAACCACGCCACAACGAATGCAAAAAACAACCTCGACAGTATTCTGACTAATGTCTAGGTTGGCAACATCGCCTATTGTTTCATTGCAGATTTCTTGTCTATGACCAACTATGTTTGTTATATTCTAATTTTGATGTTGATTATATTGGCTTAATTTTCGATTTAAAATATTGTTGGTCACCAAAACTATTTTGAAGGGGGAGAAAGTCAAACTAAAATTGAAAGTTATGTCAAAATTAGTTTCAACTTGTGGCGAAACCTTTTGACTTTCACACAGTTGAAAAACTCTCTAGTTTCTATGTAAAAATATACACGTAATTACAGCATTATTAAGGTGAGAAAATTGACCCTTATATTTTCAAAATAAATAATATTCAGATGCTTGAAGAAAAGAGAAAATTACCTATGAAGTTTACCAAGAAAGAAAAAGAAAAATAATGCAGGCAAAATCTTATGATTACATGATTGGGGAAGGTTCTTTTCAAGTAATATCAAAGTTATACGTAGCCAAATTATCTTGTGAAACTTTGTTATGCAATGTAAACTCGATAAGTCGGTCATGTGGGGGTGAGCTCATATGGCTGACTTATGGAGTAAACCGACTTATCGAGTGACCGACTTATCGAGTTTACATATGTATGCTTAAAAAATTTTGGTAATTTTGATCAGAGGAAAGAAAATCTCATGGTCAATTGAAAAAAAAATTTATTAATAAAACAAATAACAACATAATACGTGAATAATCTTATCTACAAATTCAACAAGCTGGATAATTGATTCACATGTTAACTGAAATTTCATATAACTACTGTTGGCTCAATATTATCTTCAAAACTGATATTAAATCTGTATGGAAAGCATCATATTTATTACAAAATATTTTTTAGTTTATTATCAATCCAGCGGAAACCAACAGGTTTCATTTTAATCCCATTTCTTTGAAGCAGTAGTTTTTATTTTTGGAGAATCGACTCCCTCTCATCTTAAAGATCAATATTTTCTAATGGAGTACATATGAAGTTGTCAATAAAATAAATATACTGTATATAATTCATTTTTGAAATTTCATGTACATGCACAGAACATGAGTGGAGAATATACAGATCATTTAAAAATCGTGTTATTTATCATTAATATTAATAAATCTTTTGTATAGAGATTCTGTGTAAAAAATATGCTTATTTCTTTGAATTACTGCCAGATTTTGCCAATCTACGTTTTTTAACATCCCAATTATATATACGTGCAGTATCTTTTTTTGTGATAGTAAGGGAGATGTTAAAGAATAATGACAGTAATTATATATTATATGATATTAATTTTAATTTTTTGATTTAGAAGGATACTGACTTCAATTGTGGTAACTTGTTCTCTAAGAAACTCTAAATCTTCCGATAAATTTTTTAAAGAATTTTCTGCTGTTGATAATTTACTTTTTATAAGTTCTTTTGCTTCTTGCAATGAATACTCGAGCATTACATTTGCCTTAAATATATGTGTGTGTGTGTTAAATTTATATAAATGTAAAAATGAAATAAATAAATATATTATTACTTACACCAAGCCATAAATTAACAAATTTTGTAGATTTAACTTTTGCCGGTACCCATAAAGTGTCATTTAATTCAAATGTGGTTTCCATTGATTCATCAGAATTCTACAATATACATTTTACAATTATTAAATCAAAATAATTTTTTTGATAAAATATGAAAGCTTAGTTGATTGATTTGCCTGTTTTTCCATCAAGAATTCCACTGTTTCAAGAGTTTTCTTAATTTCAAGTATTCTTAATTCCAATCCTTGTTTTTTATTAATATAATTTATTTCCATAAATTTATATTTACTGTTAAAAAAACTAAATGTTAAAATATTATTATTTTATAAAATAAGCCTCCAACCAAAAAAACCAACTTACGATACAGTTTCTTGTAATTTAGCTAATATAACTTCAGTAGATGTAGAAGGCTTTGACATAAATTCTTCGACATTTTCCTTTTTTTTCAAAAATTATCGCTTTTGAAAAGGATAATATAATAATAATAAACATTTATATATATATATATATATATTAAATTACCACAAATTGGATTTTAGGAATTCCACGAGGATTAGTCTCGAGCGTTTCAAATGTTAGATTACTACTACTATCACCGCCACTAGTACTAGTAGTTAATGACATTTTGCGAAAAACAAAGAATTAACAAAATCACTGATCGATCTGAAGATTATGTCACACTTACTAATAATGATGTCATATCGCGCATTTAGACATGGCCACCACCAACGTAATAAGTAAACCCCCGTCAAAGATGATCCTTGGCTCAAGTTTTGGGCTAATCTTGTCGGTTGATCGCAAAAAAATACATAATGACTCGGTGTTGTCAATTAATTTACCACTTTACTTTAGTTCTTGCTTACTGCCTCTTTCTTGTACCTAAAAAGTTTCAGTAAATCTGTAAGCACACTTGATGGTATCAGATAACTGTAAATAAATTCTTTTTATTTACTTGTAACCAATCTATTTGGCCGATCGCAAACTCGCTTTGGTTTATTTACAAGCAACTTAAGCAGTTCGTTTAACAATAACGCCGCCAATATTTCCAGTTAACCTTTGTACAATACTTTACTAAAGCGAATAACGTTACTAATCGTTGTTGTTAACCAACGTTTAGTTCTAACAAATAAACGTGACCTTTTACCAAAGCGCTTCGTTTTAAAGTTCATTTACAATTTTAAGGATAATTTTTACAGAGTTTTATTTTATTAGAATTTCAATTATCAAACGAGAACCCGAAAAAGTTAATACCTTTTATGTTTATTGTGTTTATATATAGAGAAAATCAAAGTTAAAGTGGAAAGCAGGCAGTAGTTTTTTTTGGGAGTATATAGAAAGGGGTGCAAAAAATAAATCATCATTCCTTTGAAAGTTTAAATAAAACACGAGAAAATTATCTTGATCTTGAAAAATTTTGTTAAAAAATGTCTTCCTTAATTTTTCTTGCCATTCATTCTTTGATTTTTCGTGTACTAACAACCTCCTTATTACTATGTACTGGTTTCTTTAGTCAAAAACTTCTTTTGCTAATTTTCAAAGTAGAATTTCCTAAGGGCAGGCATTCCTTCTTATTTTGTTTCATTATTTTCATCATTTCTTGTTTATTTCAAACTTAGTTCTTTCAATCCTCTTTGTAAGAGTTGATTCTTCTTTGTTTTTCTCTTGTCTGACTCTCTTTCTCTTGGTAAAAAATGGACTTTGGCCGATACCCTTTTGAATCCATTTTAATTTCTACGTTGGATCTTCTTCAATATTTTTTTAATCTTTCCTTTCTTTGGGCTCCAAGTTTTGTTTAATTGTCGTCTTCTCTTTCCCCATTGTTTATCGAAAATAACAGTGTAGTCTGTAGTCTGTAATTAGAGATTTTGGTAGGTTTCTATGATGTTTCCATGATCCTGAAAACATTTCCTGTTTTTAATGATTTTTCAATTATCAAAATCATTTCTTCATATCATCATACATTTACTCATAATTATAAAGATTAATTAATGAATAATCATAATGATCTAAATAATAAAGTGTTAAAGTAAGTTAAAATTAATTACAATACAATAAATAGACAAATTCTTTTTTTTTTGGCTCCGTACTGTGCGACAAAGTGTGTTAAGACGCACCCACACATCATGAATTTCACAATGTATCATTTTTATTTCAAGGGAAAATTGAAATTTACGATTTGCTTTAATGGGCATTAATAGTAGATTTTACTATTATCACATAATAAACGCATTGTGTAGATCTTGACTTTTCATATAAAATTTCTCTGTCATTATTATTTATTAGCATTGAATTTCAATTATTATTTAATTATGAGATAAAGCATCGGCATATGGTAAAGCAATTATGTCTCCAAGTGCCACAGTAGTAGGTTTACTTGACAAAATTTCATTAGCAATCTATATTAACATATTTTCAATAGAAAAAAAAGAATTAGTTAATTATCAAAAAAACCATCAATGATTTAATTAAAGATTAGGATTTTCAAATATACTTTAGTAACATCAGATGCTTTGATATGATCATATCCTGACACTGCTTCGGAAGCAGAAGTGATTTTTGCAGAAGACAAAATCTAGTAAGATAAAAACATAATATTAGTGGTGATGGTGGTGGTGACAACAACAAAACACAAACAACAACAACAATACCTGATTGCCCAAGGTTTCAGTTTTAGAATAACGTGCATCATAAGAAGCTGCAGTGTTATATTTTGCTTTTGCAATTGCTCGTTTGAATTCCTCTATATCAACACCTTTTGCAACATGTTGTAATTGTTCGACTGTAGCATCAACAGCTGAACGTATCGATGTTGGTTTACCTGAGAAATATACACCAAAAATACCTGCGTCTGAATAACCAGTATTGAAAGCACTGATTTTGGTATCAACAAATTTATTTGCTGTTTGAGCAAGTTTAGTAACACCTTCACCCCACTTTGTATATTTATCTCCATCTAGTAGCGATCTAAGAATCTGAAGAGTATAAAAATCAGATGTTCCCCCTGGTGCTCCCTCGAATGCAAGCACAAAATGGCTTGTATCATTTCCACTAGACAATCTAACCTCGCCTCCAAAATATTTGGAATTGATTGGTGTGGCTGGTAATGTATGATTTATATCTTTAAAAAGATTTTCTGTTAAAGTTTCCAACTCATTATGATCAACACCAGTACCAATAATAGTGATATTCGGAGCTGTATAGACTTTGTTGGCATAAGCTATGACATCTTCGCTACTTTTAATCTTTGTGGTAGAATTTGCAAAAAGTGAATTGCCAAGTCCATTACGAAATGCTACTTCATGTGCTGTTTCTAAAGTCAAAATTTCTGGAGTTGATTCGGCTGTACTTCTTTCAAAAGCAACACTTTGTTTCACTTCTTTAAATTCATGTGGTTCATATTTTGCATTGAACACAACATCAGATAATACACCTAAAAAATAGTCTCTATAATAACAAAATGAGAAAGGTGATGATGATAATAATAATAAATAAAATTTAAGACATACAGATTATTTGGTAAAAATTCAGCAGTAAGAATTAAATTCTCTCTTGTTAAATTGGCTGTTAATACACCGCCAAGTAGTTCTGTTTCACGTGTTGTGCGAAAAGCAGTTTTATTTGTGGTGTTCTATATCATTTGAATAAATTCAATGATTAATAGATATTTGTATATACAATTTCAATTATTCATTCACTCTAACCTTAAAAGCAAAATTCTTCAAAAAATGTGCAGCTCCAATATTATTAATAGTCTCATAACGAGGACCAGCCTTTGCAACTAACGAAATAGAAGAAGCTGGTGCACTATCTTTATTGAAATACGTACGTACATACATAAATACATGCACATATATATGGTTTAATATATCATATATATAATGTGCATTATTATATGTTGTCTTCTTCACCTTGAATAGAAACTGTCGTTATTCCATTTTTTGACTTTGAAACTGAAATTGGAGAAGCTGCAACACTAGCATATTTACGATTTATTAACAAGCTGTTAATAGGAGAATAAAGTTTATTACTTGACAATTTACAAGCACGGAACATTATTTTAAAAAGTGAATTTTTTGTTACACGAATTCTGAAATCACACTAATTCAGTAATAATTAGTCAATGAGTATGTAAAATCCTTTAAGTTTAGGCTACTTTTAAAGCTCTATGAATTAAAAGGATAGTTAGTTAACTTACCTTCAGACTTAAAAACTTGTACTCTTTAACACAAAGAAGAAATTTTCTATTTGCCGTGTCACCATCTCCTTCCGAAATTCGCAAAGTTCATAATCTTCGTGCAGATTTTTCGCCAATTATGGTGCGCCGCATCTAAAGACATCAAAAAAAATTGCAAATCTTTAAACCCTGATAGCTTTGGAAATATTTGTTGGCACATAAAAAACTCTCTATTTTTGCAATCTTTGGAACATAAACAACAATGTAATAGAGAGATTTTTTAAATTTAATTAGTAAAATAAAAAGTTATGGGGGTTTAAAATTAAGTAATTTTATTACTAATTTAAAAAATTCGGCACACCTATCAAACTAATTTGACCAATCAGGAAACTAATATAGATCAACTTTTATCACGTGATGGATCTAACTAATCATTCAACATTCAATGATAATACACCTACATCCATTAACATAAATTCTGGCAATATTCTATGAGATTTATATTTTTTTTGCTGCAAATATTATAGCCTTTCCTGAAAGTCCTAATCTATATGCATTCATAAATCTATAACATCTTCTAGCAAACTTTCCAATTTTACAAAGTGAAACCGAGTTCAATGCCAGAGGAACAGTTCTCTCTAATTCTTTAAATAAATAATTACAATTTTTTCTAGCGTATTCTTTAGTTACTTCCCAAAAACTTTCTATATAAATTAATTCACAATGATATTTCAGATAAAATTTAATATTTTATCTGATGATTTCTTAATCAGGAAGGATCACCATTAAAATTTTCGGCAAATGGCGCAGCATTTGATGTCTTTAGATGCGGCGCACCATATGACATTAATTAGTTTTGATTTTCTTAGAATGTCGCACACCCCAGTGAAACATCATGTGCCAATATCATTGCTCTTTTTTTTTTTTGATATGCTACGCGTCATTTTCAAAAAAAAAAAAAAAAGAAAAACTTTTGTTGTGTTTCAAAGACACATGTTGTTTTACCAACAAGTTTATGTTATTTTATTTTTTTGCAATAGATGGCCTAAATGTCATGTACAAAATGAAAACCAGAACACGGAATAAAACTTGCATGATAACAAATGATTGGTATGTACGCTTTTTTGTATTGTGATATTGTCATTAAATTAAGAAAATCAATTTCAGAGGCAAGAAAATCTGTTGGACATTTGCACATGCGAAAAAATGTGCATGTGTACACTTGGGCTTGGAAACGCGAAAAGCAACCTGTTCCAGTTTGATTATCAAATGACATGTCATGTTGCAAACCAACATAGGAAATCAAGTGGTTGCAAAGGCAGTTGCAACCACAGCTACAAAAAGTTGTAACCAGCATTTACCCTGTCAAAAGAAAACCTCTATTTCATTCTCACCTTTTCCTCATGTATATAAGGCTAATCTGACTTGATTGTCCCTGATGATACAATGA